GACCCGAAAAAAAAACGACAGTGTTACCCCTTACGTTTTTTTTTCATTTTCGGGCCAAAAATTAAGTTTCTCCAATCTTCTCAAAACTCTGGATTATGATAGAGGGCCACGAGACTTTGACCTGAGTGCAAAAATGGAGGCTCTAGACCCTTCCAGAGCTGAGATATCGAAACTCAAAATTTCGACCCGAAAAAAAAAACGACAGTGTTACCCCTTACGTTTTTTTTCATTTTCGGGCCAAAAATTAAGTTTCTCCAATCTTCTCAAAACTCTGGATTATGATAGAGGGCTGTGAGACTTTGACCTGAGTGCAAAAATGGAGGCTCTAGACCCTTCCAGAGCTGAGATATCGAAATTCAAAATTTCGACCCGAAAAAAAAACGACAGTGTTACCCCTTACGTTTTTTTTCATTTTCGGGCCAAAAATTAAGTTTCTCCAATCTTCTCAAAACTCTGGATTATGATAGAGGGCCACGAGACTTTGACCTGAGTGCAAAAATGGAGGCTCTAGACCCTTCCAGAGCTGAGATATCGAAACTCAAAATTTCGACCCGAAAAAAAAAACGACAGTGTTACCCCTTACGTTTTTTTTATTTTCGGGCCAAAGATTAAGTTTCTCCAATCTTCTCAATACTCTGGATTATGATAGAGGGCTGTGAGACTTTGACCTGAGTGCAAAAATGGAGGCTCTAGACCCTTCCAGAGCTGAGATATCGAAACTTAAAATTTCGACCCGAAAAAAAAACGACAGTGTTACCCCTTACGTTTTTTTTCATTTTCGGGCCAAAAATTAAGTTTCTCAAATCTTCTCAAAACTCTGGATTCTGATAGAGGGCTGTGAGACTTTGACCTGAGTGCAAAAATGGAGGCTCTAGACCCTTCCAGAGCTTAGATATTGAGATCGCACGTAGCATTTATGCCATTATAAAAATAGTGGGTTCGCGGACGGTGAAATTTTGGAAAGGCGCTTGGTGCTACGGACCCCGGGAGGCCTGCTGAGTGCAGTAAAATAGTTTTTATCACTACAGGAACTTTAGTTAAAATGTCTATCAAATATACTACCTGAAACCCCATGCAATAGATTGCAGGCGGGATGGTGTCCAACATAAAAATGGTATAAAACTCATACAGGTTTGGAACAACATGAGGGTGAGCAAGTTATGAGAAATATAATTTGTGGCTGATCTACACCTTTAAACGCATAGTTCCCCCCAAAATTTAAAGTAGCCCATGATTTAATCACCCTGGCCTCAAGCCATCCTTGGTGTATATGACATTCTTCTCTTGTCTTGAGAAGTGACGTGTGTGTGTGTTCTGACAGACGGTGGTGTTCGGGGCGTATCTGATCGCTCATGGCTTCTTCAGTGTGTATAACATGGGTGTGGACACACTCTTCCTGTGTTTCTGTGAGTCCCTCCTCTACAAGACAATTGCTCATTTCACAGCTCATGTGACCATGATTGATAACAGTGTGTGTGTGTGTGTTCAGTGGAGGATCTGGAGCGCAACGACGGCAGTGCAGAGAAACCCTACTTCATGTCCAAGAACCTGATGAAGATCCTCAATAAGAAGAACAAACAGCCCAAGACATGATGATGATGATGAAGGTCTTCCTCCTCTCATGCACCGTCACTTTCAAGATCCCAAGACACTTTTAAACATCATTATTCCCCATTTACACTTTATTTTTAGAGATGTTATCGAGCCTCGACGTCTCATGAGTTCATTTAACTGATTTTACTGAAGAAGTGCCTGTGAATTTGTGTGATTTTATTTTGTGCTTGACACACTTTGTTCAAGAAACCAAACTGAGGATGTTTGCATGTGAATGATGTCAGTGAGCCAAAGGCTTTTATTGGGTTTAGTTATTTTTAGTACGATATGCACAGTGAAACTATATTGCGTGTATAATTGCCTGTTTATATGCAGATTAATAACTAACAAAAAGTTCTTCCAAAATTAAATTACTGTATGGTTTTTAAAGCCACGTTTATTTTTATTTTGTAAAAGAAAATAGTCTAATATAAGAAACTCCATAAGCATGAAGGAAAGAAAGCCTTAGTTTTGAATGTTTTATAGTTACAGTAGTTCATGCTCGTTTCACACTGTTTTTATATGGTTTTTATTTTGGTTGTGTTTGATTTAGTGTAAACTGGAAATAAACAGTTTATTTAAACTCTCGTAAGTATTTATTTAAACACATAGATTAATCTAATAAAAATGTTGCACATTATCAGGTGTTTATTTTCTTTTATATATTTGCAATTGGTTTCATGTATTATACGGAAGCCCTGAACCGCAACGTAAAAAAAAAATTTGTTAAGAAAAATAAAATAAAATAAATCTAGCGTTTCGAAATTAAAGTCGAAGTGTTTCGAGATTTAAGTCGGAACGCTTTGAGATTTAAGTCGGAACGCTTCGAGATTTAAGTTGGAACGCTTCGAGATAAATCTCGAAAAAATAAATCTAGCGTTTTGCGATTTTAAAGTCAAAGCATTTCGCGATTAAAGTCGGAGCGTTTCGAGATTAAAGTCGAAGCGTTTCGAGATTAAAGTCGAAGCGTTTCATGATTAAAGTCGGAGCGTTTCGAGATTAAAGTCGAAGCGTTCAAGATTAAAGTCGAAGCGCTTCAAGATTAAAGTCGAGAGCGTTTCAAGATTAAAATTCGAAGCGTTTCAAGATTAAAGTCGGAGCGTTTCAAGATTAAAGTCGAAGCGTTTCAAGATTAAAGTCGAAGCGTTTCAAGATTAAAGTCGGAGCGTTTCGAGATTAAAGTCGAAGCGTTTCAAGATTAAAGTCGAAGCGTTTCAAGATTAAAGTCGGAGCGTTTCGAGATTAAAGTCGGAGCGTTTCGAGATTAAAGTCGAAGCGTTTCGAGATTAAAGTCGAAGCGTTTCAAGATTAAAGTCGAAGCGTTTCAAGATTAAAGTCGGAGCGTTTCGAGATTAAAGTCGAAGCGTTTCAAGATTAAAGTCGAAGCGTTTCAAGATTAAAGTCGGAGCGTTTCAAGATTAAAGTCGAAGCGTTTCAAGATTAAAGTCGAAATGCTTCGAGATTAAAGTCGAAACGCTTTGAGATTAACGTCGGAACGCTTTGAGATTAACGTTGAAATGTTTCGAGATTAAAGTGTGCGGATGTATGTTATATGTATTTAATTGCTTTATATAATATACATGTACGGAAGCCCTGAACCGCAATTTAATCTCGAACTGTTTCGACTATTTATTTTACAGATTTTTTTTTTTACTTTGCGGTTCAGGGCTTCCGTACATATATATTATATAAAGCACTTAAATTTATATAACACACATCCATATATACAGACACTTATAATATGTAAACTACTATACTATAAAAAATTACGACAACACTTTGTATTAAATGTTTATTTATCAAGTGCCCACACCCACTTTAGTTTCTGGCCCATATGCACAATAATTATATGCAATTTAGCTACCAAAAGACTTTTATGGCGAAAAAGGCTTGTTACAAATATAATTAACCAGTGATATGCAAAAAGGAAAGACAAACAAGAGCAATTTTAACTAAAGTCACCCAAAATCATCAACGGATTCTGACCGTAAACCCCACCCACTTTTACTGCCGAGCAGCCAATCAACACGACCTGCATTGTGACATCATAAAAGTGGGCGTGGCCAGTCTTTAGACAAGAAGTTTAAACCGGCCAATCACTGCAGCGAGAGGAAATAAACACGTTCTTTTTCACAGGATGTTTGTTACACTGACAAAACAGTTAAAACCAACAGGATTACAAACCATCACCGCTCAGCTGTCAATCAACGTCACAGCCAATGACAGAGAGACGTTTAAAAACATCATGTACAATATCCATATACACACACACACACACACACTCGCATACCACATTAGCAGGATGAAAATTAAATTCACTTTCATAAGTTTCTTATCTGTGACAAAAGCATAAATCACTCATTCACCCTGTCAATCATAACTGAATGCGTGTGAACTCATAATAAGGTGATTAATAACAGTTATGACGTACACTGTGTGTTAGCGGTCATGTCTGCTTTACACAACAAACACACGGCAGGTAAAACTGTTGTGGAAACACTTCCTGAACCCCATCTCAACCGGAAAATGCATCAGAGTCGGATTTGATTAGCTTATGACTAGTGTTAGCCTGTGAGGCTAAAGCTAAACCTTGAACACAATGGGCGAATCTCACAAAAACATGTTCAGGTCATATTTCACTCCTAAATAAAACGTTTCAGAACCTGCTTTTACGATTTTAAGGATAATAATAACAAAAAATTAAATCCTAAATTGTGCAATTGCGATTCCTATAATACATGCGGTACACCACACGTCCGCCTTCGTGTTCTCTCCTTTAGAAACTTCTTTGGCATGAAATTGAAAAGCTACAAAGAGTGCTGAATGAGTCTGGGTAATATTTCACCCCAAACATCACAAGAAAGAAAATACATTATTAGAACAAACGTGTGCATTTTCATGACAATTAATCACTCCACAATAAATTAAGACTATTCTTAGTACCATGATGGAGTTTCTTTATATATTACATTATTACGGTAAAGACGACACTTTAATGAACGTATGGAAGCTTGTTTCCGCCACTGAATAAAAACAAAATAATAATAGCAATTGTGACTTTTTATCTTACAATTGCAAGATATGAAGACGAAAGACTTTTTTCCTTAAAATTCTGACTTTATAACACAAAATTGCGAGATTCTGACATTTTTTCTCAGAATTGTGAGATATAAAGTCACAATTGTGAGTTATCAGGCCAATTCTAAGGAAAAAGACTAACATTTCTCCCCTCAGAATACTTTATATCTCGCAATTGTGTGTTATAAAGACAGAATTGTGAGATAAAGTCGCAATTACCTTATTTATTTTCCTTCTGTGTTGGAAACAAGCTTCCACATGAGTGTGTTTCTGTTAAATCGCCATGAAAATAATGTCAGATTGCAGGTTTACTGAAATAAGTTTCTTTACGCTCGATGTATTTCGTGAGATGTTCTGGTGAGATTCATCAACGGCTGTAGTGTTTCATCTACGTTAATACTGTCTCTCAACACTGATGTGTGTGTGTGTGCGAGTGAGATTGTATGTGTGTATGCGAGAGTGAGTAAGTGAGAGAGAGAGTGAGTGTGTGTATATGGATATGAGACACAGACAAACAGGAATTCATTTTCTGAAAGCACACACACACACACACACACAAGACAGTGTCCTTGTCCATCATCTGAAGCACACACACACTCACTCACACACACACACACACACACACACTCACACACTCAGCATCCAGAAGAAGAAGAAGATGGCCAGGAAGAGGAAGAGCGAGTCCTGCCAGTTGTTGCCGTTGTTGGGATTGCCATTGCCTTGATGATCATAATGAGGATCTGAACACACACACACACACACACACACAAAGGCAAAAGGCTTTAGAAACCAACCAAACACCTTTGACTGAGAGCATACATGAATCCTGACATCAAATTAAAGGTACACATATTTTAATGTTCCTCGAGGTTCACTTCTGATGCTAATAACGTTTTTTGCACAAAAAACAAAACAAAACAAACGAGATCCAGTGGGCGGGGCCTATGATGTATTTGGAGGCTCATATGCAAATATATTTCCCTCACAGATCCCGCAATATCCAAACCAGCAGTGTCGGGAGATTGATGAAATGATTGCTCTATTATAACGAGGAGGATGTCTGAACGCTCTGAAACTCGCAGGACGTTTTAATCAAGTGTGTGTGCTAAAGCAGGCGCACTGACCTGGCCTGTGGAAGGGGTCGTTGGCGTTAAAGACTGTGGTGAAGAAACCGAAGGGGAAAGCACCGATCCCAAACGACATGTGAAACCCTGTGTCGCCAAAACCCTGAAACTGTCGAGCGAGAGAGAGAGAGAGAGAGGATCACATTAATAATACATTCATAACCACACCATAATGATGTCACGACAGACGCTCACCCCTCTGCTCTCAGGCTCTGTCCTTTGACCCTGAGGTCGTGGTGGTGTTTTCAATCTGAAACACACGCACACACACATTTCATGATATTCAAAACCATCAGCCTGCAGATACAATCACAACACACACACTCACCTTCTCTCTCTCTCTAAATCAATAAATTGCTTTTTCTAATCATAAACACATGCAATCAAATCAAATACACAATAGAATTAAATTAGAAAATAAAAAGCATAACAAATCCATTTATAGCAGAAACAAGGTCTTAAACAAACATATTATTAATATTACCGACAGTCTCATCTGACTCTGCTTCCGTTTCATTTCAGATTTAATAAAATTATCACACAAATGTTTTTAATAGTTGTATTTAACGCTAATAATATACTGGCCCAGCACTACAAACTAACCTGGACTGTTCAAATCCCCACTGGTTTCGATGGTTATTTATTCATTAATGTCTCAATCCTTGATGACACACACACACACACACACATCAGTTTATGTTCTGAATGTCATGCTACTTCTGAAGTCTGCTTTCATGAAATAACTGGACGACATTTGCCTGAATAGCACGCTGTTAGACCCACAATGCAATGCACTGGACTTGCCCTTCAATATCCAGTGGCAAGTTCTTAAACATCTCCTCTGTGACTCATTATTCGTTACACAAAACTGGATTATATATTTCTGAGATGACAACTACTGCACTCACTGATTAAACACGCAACTTAATAAAGTCATGTGACATTGTAGCAAACTGATGACGCCTCCAGCAGTCAGTAAGGCAGTGTGTGTGCACTAGTTAGGGCTCTAGTGAGTACCTGGGATCCTCCTGACTGGTGCTGCCACGGCCGTACAGAGGAATGACTTTATCTCGACTGATTCCTGCTTTACACACGGGACACTGCTGCCTGCTGGGACGCGTCTCCAGCCACTGAAACACACGCGACACTGATCCTGAAACAGGCTCTTATGCTCAGCAAGGCTGCGTTCATTTCATCAAATACAGTAAAAATCTGAAATATTATCGCAATGTAAATCTGCTGTTTTCTGTGCGAATATATAGTAAAGTGTCATTTATTTCTTCAGTGTCACATGATCCTTCAGGAATCACTCTAATATGAGGATCTGATGATCAAGACACAACAGGTGAAATTGGAAAAATGATAATATGGTGCAAAAGTTCATTTATTTCAGTAATTCAACTTAAAAGGTGAAACTAATATATTATATAGACTCAAGCCTTTATTAGTTATAATTGTGATGATTATGGCTTACAGATATTAAACATTTTAACAATATTCTAAGTTTGTATTTGGGGTTTTCATATCTGTAAGTCACAATCATCAACATGTAAAGGCTTGAAATATCTCACTTTGCATGTAATGAGTCTATATAATATTTTAGTTTCACCTTTTAAGTTGAATTACTGAAATAAATGAACTTTTGCACCATATTATAAGTTTCACCTGTAAAGCATTTGTTTGAAATATAACCTTTTGTAACATTATAAATATATTTTCCGTAACTTTTGATCAATTTAATGCGGCCTTCATGAATAAAAGTATTACTCAAGTAAAAATATAGATATATAAAATAAAATGACTGACTGTACATTATTCATTAATTATTAAACAGTTTTTACTGTACTTTATAAACTTTTATTATCTAATTACGTGTAAGCATGTAATCCCACTGAGTATGAACAGATATAATACATATATATATATATATATATATATATATATATATATACAGATATATAGTCTATCGTTATATTACTATTAATGTCTATAGTCTATTAATGTCTATAGTCTATCGTCACATTGTTATATTATATTATCATTATATTGTATTATATATTATAGTTATCTGCAATACTGTAACAATGTTTGTTAGCTTTCTGTGAAGCTACTCATGCTTTCAACGTCTGTGTCATTTTACTCAAAGTGTGCACTACAAATGACACACACAAACACACTCACCTGATGAAGACAAGGCCAACTGCACAAGACGACAAACCAGGAGAGACAGAGAGAGAGAAGTCAAAGATTAGTGAATACATCTATGTTATTTTAATAGCCAATAGTGTTCCTGTAGCTCATTGGCACTAGCAACACAAGGTCATGGGTTCGATTCCCAGAATGCATTAACCAATCGCTTCAGATAAAAGGCATTCATGTCAAATCTTATAGTTGTAATGTAATGTCTGCATATTTTCATATTTCTCAAAATGTATTTGGCATGAAAATTAAAAGCTACAATAAGTTGTGTGGATATAAAATATTGTGAATCTCATGAAACCTGTTGATAACATGTCTGGGTAATATTTCATCCTTAAAAATCATGAGAAACAAAAGGTTCAAAATAATAGGATTGATTAGAACTATTAATATTCACCGTGATATGTTGCTGAAATCAAGATTTTCTATTATTATTACAGTAATGTAAAAAATATTTACATATCACAGTAAAAAAAGAAAGAAAAATATAGTCATGAGATTGTAGGGAATAAATGTTTTAAATTGTCATGAAAACAATTTCAAAGTGCACATTCATTGAAATAATTTTACAAATATTTAATGTATTCCTCATTGAGGTAAAATATGCCATGACACTAGAGCATATACTGTATTAAAAACTCCGTTCATTTTCTCCATAGAGAAATATATTATACGATAACTTATAGTCAAACCTACTGTGAGCTACGAGGTTGTTAATCGATGCTATTTGCTTCTGCAAAGCTTTATTTAAAATAATTGGGTTTAACAGAGGAGTTCCTAGTGAAAAACTACATTACCCATGAATCTCTTTAGCTCCTCCCACTCCCATGAAGCACTGTGAACATTCATCTCCACACTCTCAAAATACTTGGATATGAATATTTTGCAATAAACTTGAAATATCTCATTTTTATACATATATAATCAACATTTGTAAATGTGTAGTTTCGCAGTGCCTCATGGGATTGTAGTTCTCTCCCTCAGTAAAGCCATTAAGTCACAGTCTTTGTATTTTTGTCAGATTTTCAAATATTTTTTGCTTCAAATCAGTTTGTAGTGTTATGTTTCTCCTCGTATCTGCTTATAATGCTTTAACAAAGGCTATTTTAAAATCCCTATGGGAGAAATGAATGGAAAAAACACTTCTGATGGGTTTGTTGCCTAAATATTGAATAACTCCGAGATGTTTGTCATGCACACAATCACAAACACAATCCACAACATGCTGAATGAAGGGTCGTAATGGCACAAACGGGTCAGTGTTACGTGTGCATCTATTCTTACTCCTCCTCAATCCTCCTGTGGAGTCTAATCTCTCATTAACCTGATAATCTCACGCCAACGGCACTAAACACACATGAAGATCTCGTCCGAGCGAAGCTACGGCCACAAATGAACACAAGTCCAGCACAAAACAAAATGCTTTAATCACATTAACTCATCAAGCCCTTGCATAAGCAAGTGAGGAACAGAGACATATTTGTTTGTTCGGATTTCTATCTGTCGTTTATTTCTGAAAGAGAGAGAAACTTCCCTGGCTGAAACACACTAAAAGATCACATAAACACACCTATTGTTTCATATCTAATACAATATCTAAGGCCTGTAGCCTAAATGATCAAATATTTGCTCAGACTCTTACTAGTCTTGTAATATAAGTTAGTGTACAAACGTCCTTCAGCTTGAGAATCTGCCCGTATTTTATCAAGGAAACGCAGGAATAACTTTGATATTGTTGTTAGTAATATTTCAGCTGGACTGAAGGAGGTTTACTTGTTTATCCATCATCATTTATTATCAAAATCATGAGTATCAAATATGATCAACAGGTTTATGAGTTCATCTGTCAATCATCATTGTATTGCATTTGGTTTGAAACCTACAGAGCATTTACCATAAAAATAAGCGTTTAATCTTGAGACATTATTGGCAGATATTGATATTAATCTGCATTTTATGTTGTGTTTTTTCCATTTAAACATCTGCAAAAACATCTCCATATTCCCACTATATCAGACTAAAAGCCTGATAAACACATACGCAAACTTTCTTTAGGTGTCACCAAAAGGTTCAATAAACCTAGAAAGGTTCCATTAAAAAAAAAAAAAAAAATCAATCACTTGATTCACTAATTCATTTGTCTGACTATTTTGTCATATGTAAAGCATTACAATGTTTTAAACTCTCAGATGAATGTGTCATGATGAGGAGCTTCACACACTTAAACACACTTAAAGTGACCAGCAATTGCAGCAAAACACCACAGAAGAACAAAAAATAATGTTTACTGCAAAATCATAGCATAATAATGCAGGTGCTCATTCTGAATATTTCAATCATACTGACTTCATGTTTACCACAATTTTACTATAATAACAACAACTGCAGTAACGTTACATATGTCTTTACCGTGGTGTTACCATGGTTCAGTAATACTGTACTCGTATACCATGGTATTTAAATGATAAAGATGTAATAATGTACTTCAGTGAGTCTGAAGTATAAATCTATGTCAGTGAAGGAAGATAACCCGTTCCTACATGACAACACTAAGGGAAGTGATTGACAATAACCATGGTGAATTCATGAGAACAGATTCTTCCCTGTCAACATGTCAGACTGTCAATCAGTCACTGTTGTTCTCTGACATGTTGTGAGTAAATAACAATAACAGCAGGTATTCTCAGTAAATGTAGGTTTGGTTGCTATGGTAAAGGGTCTCGCTGTCAATCATTTCCTCACTGTGTGTGTTGCTAAGGCTCCTACTGTTATGATATTGATGGTGATCGATTATCGATCAGCTGTAACATTACCAGAACAGGTGTCCGCAGAGGCTGATGACCGCGTCTCGGGCGGTGTCCAAGCAGATGTTACACTCGAAAGTGGCTCGATCTCTGTCCCGCTCGCCTTCCGCGCTTCCTCCGGGCCCTGCTCCGCCTCCGCTGCCCGGGACACCCGCTCCTCTGGCGGTCGCGCCGTCACTCGAGCTCCGCTGCTGCTCTGCGGCCTCCATCCTCTCGCGCTCTCACTCAATGCGCGTACACTCCTGTTTCGCGCTCTCGCGCGGACGTGACGTACTGCCAGTCACAAGCCCCTCCCACTCCGCTACAGCACTTCCGCTTACGCGACGTAACTTATTCTTTCTTTATAAAAATAATATTTCAAGTAAAATTGCTGTGGTGCAGCAAACACACATCTTGTAGAAATCTAGAACATTTCAATCAAAATGACATAATATTAAACAAGTTCAATCATTACTGCACAGTGTGACATTCCCATGACAAAAGTTGGAAAGAACGAAACAAGAAAATAAAATAAAAAGACAATAAAATAAAATAAAATTAGTGTGTGTTCAAAGTTACTATAGTATTTTTTTGTGAGTAAACACACGTCATCATTATAATAGTTTTTTTTTAATGATTTGTAGCCTAGCATAACCTCAAAACTACAGACGGTCTAAAAGCCACTAAATAATGTCAAATGGGTTCTGTAGTCTCAGTTTGCAGGAAATATTCTCGCAAAGTTACGAACAAACCTTCTGTCAGTAATGTTAACATTGTTTCAAAAGAATCTAATAATGTTCTTAAAACATTAGCACAAATATCCTATCGTTAATGGAACTTTTTCCCTGAAATGTCAACGGTTTAGTTGGATGTTTGTCTAACATTTATAAAAGCCTACTTGTTTCAGGGAACATTTAAAACAACATTCCCATCATGTTTGCGAAATGTAATGTTCATTTATTACACTACTTTAATTACGAAAAACATTTTATTAAACTGAACGTTTAGATAGCATTCGGAAATAACATTTTCTTTACTTCGTGGGAAAGTTATCAGAAGGATATTGAAAGATAGTTTTGTTATTTTATTATGTTAGTTCAGATCCATAACTTAATATGCCCTCTCCTGGTTACAATTCAGAATCAATATGTGCCTTCTTCACTTTTACAATATGAGTTTTCTTCACTTTTATCATTCTCATTTTCCTCAACATATCAAGAGTTTGCCATTTTCACCATGAAGGATGGACATTAAAGGTCAGCTTGAATATAATGTTTTAATCTCAATTTTAATATATATAATTCAATATATAATATTGTATAATATTGTAATATATACAATATTTAATAAATATAATTATATATATATATATATATTCTAATCTAAAATTGAGATTAAAACATTATATTCAAGTTATATACTATATATATATATATATATATATATATATATATATCGAGTCTAACCCTGTGAATGCGGATAAACATTAAAGCTGTCATTGACCGGACACAGATCACATGAGTACAGATGTTTAAGGAGGACAGATGAGTATTTGCTGATTATTAGGGTCAGGAATGTCTGTTTTTTCAGAAAACATAACTTGATTTTAGAGATATTTAGAGGCTTCAGAAAATGAGAAAGGAACTGAATAGCAGCACTCAGTTTTGGTGGGCAATATCATTTATAAACGTTGTAATGCATCTAATATTTAGAAAATAAACCAACACAGCATGTTACAAATTACCTTTTAAAATCAATGATTTTATGCACCAGTTCATTTGATTTCAAAAGGTTAATTTACACATGTCCAGTAGACAGGGACTGTCATGAGTTTATAAAAGTCCTCCAGATGAAGTTCACCGGGATTTTCGTGCAAGTAAAATAATACAAATGAATCGTGTAAATAAATGTAACGTCATTTTGCTGGTTGATCTGAAGCTCTTGTAAACGCTGTGATGAACCTCATATTAATGGCCACTGGTTTATGAATGTTCAGATTTCCATGTTCTTTTGGCTGTGATGAGGATAAAGCTCTAGATCTGATTCTTCAAAACGACCCGATCATCCTGGATCTTCTAACTGGAGTCATCGCTGTCCTTTCTGTCTTGAGCTGAAGAAAACAACAGAAGATTTCACTTAAACTGACTGTTTCTGGTTCTAAACACCAAAAATAAATAGCAAACATTTCATGTTCAAATGGATGAATATGTTGTTTATCTTTAGTTGAAATGAACTGAAACATTACTGAGGTTTGGCAGAGAAATGTCCTTGGATCTGCAGCGTCCTGAAACACAGAATAACAGCATTAGAATCTTTGTATTATGTATAATAATAATAATAAAATAAAAATAAAATATAATAAAAAATATAGATATTTTGACTAAGCAATAGCATGTAATTTAAAAGAGAATGAACAAGAGACTATTAAGATTACTTGGCAGTGGTAACAGCAGTGCATTCTGGGTAACGGTGTTCTGATCTGCGTCTTCTCTCTCCATGGCTGGAAAAAAAAATCACATCCAGTGTCTGTCCGACTAACAATCTAATTAACATAAATCCATCTCAACTCACCAACATTAGGCAGAGAGATGTTTTTGGGGCCCATCGCACCTGTAAAAGTGATGAAGAAGAAGATGAGTGAGAGAGATGAAGAAGACGATGAGTGAGAGAGATGAAGACGATGAGTGAGAGAGATGAAGAAGACGATGAGTGAGAGAGATGAAGAAGACGATGAGTGAGAGAGATGAAGAAGACGATGAGTGAGAGAGATGAAGAAGACGATGAGTGAGAGAGATGAAGAAGACGACGAGTGAGAGAGATGAAGAAGACGACGAGTGAGAGAGATGAAGAAGACGATGAGTGAGAGAGATGAAGAAGACGATGAGTGAGAGAGATGAAGAAGACGATGAGTGAGAGAGATGAAGAAGACGATGAGTGAGAGAGATGAAGAAGACGATGAGTGAGAGCGATGAAGAACACGATGAGTGAGAGAGATGAAGAAGACGATGAGTGAGAGAGATGAAGAAGACGATGAGTGAGAGAGATGAAGAAGACGATGAGTGAGAGAGATGAAGAAGACGATGAGTGAGAGAGATGAAGAAGACGATGAGTGAGAGCGATGAAGAACACGATGAGTGAGAGAGATGAAGAAGACGATGAGTGAGAGAGATGAAGAACACGATGAGTGAGAGAGATGAAGAAGACGATGAGTGAGAGAGATGAAGAAGACGATGAGTGAGAGAGATGAAGAAGACGATGAGTGAGAGAGATGAAGAAGACGATGAGTGAGAGAGATGAAGAAGACGATGAGTGAGTGATGAAGAAGACGATGAGTGAGAGAGATGAAGAAGACGATGAGTGAGAGAGATGAAGAAGACGATGAGTGAGAGAGATGAAGAAGACGATGAGTGAGAGATGAGGAAGAGCATCAGATAAGAGATGGTTCAGATGTTCTGACCTCGAGCTGCTGCAGTCGCTTCAGTTTCACAGAGACTCTGAGTGTCATGAAGATCCTCAGCTGAAAGAGAACGAGACCAACCATTACTGTGTGTGTGTGTGTGTGTGTGTGTGTGTGTGTGTGACCTACTGTGTCCCTCCTCCACACTGGGATCTGCAGGGTCTTCTTCTTCTGAATCAGTGTGTAAAGCAGCTTCACATGTTTCTGGTCCTGATGGAGTTCAGAACGGATTAAATGATGTTATTGAACATGTTCATGCATTACTCAGCAGATGGACAGAGACAGTCACTTTTTATTTTATTTCTGGCTTTTAACAATTCAGATTCACTTACTGAACCGGTCAGTAAACCACAGTTCCATTTCACTCAGTTCTGAGTCTTCATCTTGGACTAAAATAAGGAATATTAACAGTCAGTTTCCTCACATCATCTCATGTCACTCCAGTTTATGATCAGAGTGATCTGTGTGAAGATTTCAGAAGATTCACTTTTGTACGAAGAATAATTTAGTTTTGTATTCAGTGAAATAATGTTGAATGTGAACTGGGCAATTTGATTTACTTTGCTTCTTAATGATTTGTTGCTTTTAGTGCTAAATAAATTAAACAATTAAAGAAAGTAAATTATTAGTATGTGTATGTAAACTCACGCGTTCGCACACTTCCTGAAGGAGAGAAAAACCGTCAGCACATATGAAACAGAATAAAATGAATACAGAATGAAATAATTATTTGAAAAGTAATTATGATTTGTGTGTTCATAAATATGTCATCATCAGAATGAGATGTAAAGATTTAATGACTGATAAGTTGAAAGTATCTTGACTCAACAGCTTGTGCAATACATGTATTATTGGCACAGATTATTCTATAATTGTTTTGAAATAATTTTTTTTCTTTCAGAAGAACAGCAGAAATACCTGCATTTATAAACCTGATAAATAGTTTCCTAAAAGATACAAATGTTATATAATGTATGAACTCACCTGGTAAACAAATTGCGTAATTCCTGGCTAAAAGATCTAGAGAGGAATGTTTAATGACGCAGTTCAGTTCTCCGATTCACAACAAGACTGATTACAGAATGTAGGAATATATTATAGTGTTTCCACTTGTAGAATAGTCAGACTCACCTGATGATTCTGATGTTGGAAATGATATTAATGATAGTAATTCTGGTGATTCTGGTAATTCTGGTAATTCTGGTGATTCTGGTAATTTTGGTGGTTCTGGTAATTTTGGTGGTTCTGGTAATTGTAGGCTTAAAGTCAGATGATTATGGATAGTATTATAAATATTAACAGTCATTCTGTCCGTCTATTCAGCCTATATAAAGGATTAGAGGAATAATACTCACTTCGACGTTTAACACATTTCCTCAGCAGATAAAACACAAGAAGAATGATGGCAAGAACAACTACAGAAACTATAGAGCCGACGAGCAGCGGCAGCAGGACATTCACTTCCTCTGTCACAGAAACACAGATTAATAAAGCAAACTGAAGTGATGATATGAACTGATGGAGGATCCTGTTACCCCAGCTGATGACGAGCGCTTCAGTCCGAGTCTGGTGCTTCACCACACACTGATACTGGGCTGTGTCAGACGGCAGGATCTCCAGGCTCTTCTTCAGCTGGAAGGATCCGTCAGCGTTCGGTCTGATTCCCTCTGACTTCAGATGATCTTCAGGGAACGGCGTCTGATCACGTCTGATCTCCATCTGCACATGTTTAGGGTAGAAGCCTGTGGCCAAACACACCAGCAGAGACGAGCCGGAAGATCCAGACGCTTTTACACCAGTGTGAACACGAGGACGAGCTGCAGGACAGACAGATGAAGATAATAAACATGCATGAAAGAATGCATTCAAGAATAAACATGCATGAAAGAATGCATTCAAGAATAAACTTGCATGAAAGAATGCATTCAATAATGAAAATAATAAACTTGCATGAAATAATGCATTAAATAATGAAAAGAATAAACCTGCATGAAATAATGCATTAAATAATGAAAATAATAAACTTGCATGAAAGAATGCATTAAATAATTAAAATAATAAACCTGCATGAAATAATGCATTCAATAATGAAAATAATAAAGTTGCATGAAATAATGCATTAAATAATGAAAATAATAAACTTGCATGAAAGAATGCATTAAATAATTAAAATAATAAACCTGCATGAAAGAATGCATTCAATAATTAACATAATAAACCTGCATGAAATAATGCATTAAATAATGAAAATAATAAACTTGCATGAAAGAATGCATTCAATAATTAAAATAATAAACCTGCATGAAAGAATGCATTCAATAATGAAAATAATAAACCTGCATGAAATAATGCATTAAATAATGAAAATAATAAACCTGCATAAAATAATGCATTAAATAATGAAAATAATAAACTTGCATGAAAGAATGCATTCAATAATTAAAATAATAAACCTGCATGAAAGAATGCATTCAATAATGAAAATAATAAACCTGCATGAAATAATGCATTAAATAATGAAAATAATAAACCTGCATGAAATAATGCATTCAATAATGAAAATAATAAACCTGCATGAAATAATGCATTAAATAATGAAAATAATAAACTTGCATGAAAGAATGCATTCAATAATGAAAATAATAAACCTGCATGAAATAATGCATTAAATAATGAAAATAATAAACCTGCATGAAATAATGCAATTAATAATGAAAATAATAAACTTGCATGAAAGAATGCATTCAATAATGAAAATAATAAACTTGCATGAAAGAATGCATTCAATAATGAAAATAATAAACTTGCATGAAATAATGCATTAAATAATGAAAATAATAAACTTGCATGAAAGAATGCATTAAATAATGAAAATAATAAACTTGCATGAAAGAATGCATTAAATAATTAAAATAATAAACCTGCATGAAAGAATGCATTCAATAATGAAAATAATAAACCTGCATGAAAGAATGCATTAAATAATGAAAATAATAAACTTGCATGAAAGAATGCATTAAATAATTAAAATAATAAACCTGCATGAAAGAATGCAATAAATAATTAAAATAATAAACTTGCATGAAAGAATGCATTAAATAATTAAAATAATAAACTTGCATGAAAGAATGCATTAAATAATTAAAATAATAAACTTGCATGAAAGAATGCATTCAATAATTAAAATAATAAACCTGCATGAAATAATGCATTAAGTAATGAAAATAATAAACCTGCATGAAATAATGCATTAAATAATGAAAATAATAAACTTGCATGAAAGAATGCATTAAATAATGAAAATAATAAACTTGCATGAAAGAATGCATTAAATAATGAAAATAATAAACTTGCATGAAAGAATGCATTAAATAATTAAAATAATAAACTTGCATGAAATAATGCATTAAATAATAAAAATAATAAACTTGCATGAAATAATGCATTAAATAATTAAAATAATAAACCTGCATGAAATAATGCATTAAGTAATGAAAATAATAAACCTGCATGAAATAATGCATTAAATAATTAAAATAATAAACTTGCATGAAAGAATGCATTCAATAATTAACATAATAAACCTGCATGAAAGAATGCATTCAATAATTAAAATAATAAACCTGCATGAAATAATGCATTCAATAATGAAAATAATAAACTTGCATGAAAGAATGCATTCAATAATTAAAATAATAAACCTGCATGAAAGAATGCATTAAATAATTAAAATAATAAACCTGCATGAAAGAATGCATTCAATAATGAAAATTAAATCATGAACATAATAAACCTGCATGAAGGAATACATTCAATAATGAAAGAATGCATTCAATAATGAAATTAATAACCGTATAGATTCTTCTGTAAACTCACATTCCATGATGAAGTTTCTCTCTCGCTGAAGTTCAGTGAATCTGGTTAATGTTTCCACACATCTCCTCTCCAGGCTGGACACTGATTCTCTGTCCCAGATGATGTCATGGTCGAGGACTAAAGGCTTCCAGTGCACTGAGAGGTCAAAGGTCAAGGTCTCGCCATCATAGGCGTATTCATCAGAGCCTTGAAGTAACATCACTGAACCATTATTGCGACGTTCAACCTCACAGCCGTGCCTCCACTGAAGAACATGAAGATCTGGAGAATAAAACAGAAGACCACAAGATAGATTATAATCTTTATTTTTAATTATTATATTACAAACATTACAAGTAGAAGAAAGAACATTTTCTCTCACAAAATAAAGGTATCATGTTCTAAAATATATGTACATTGTAGTTAACTGCATGTAAAAATAATATAAAATCAACCAGATATGAATAATATGAACAATATGCTGCCAATTTTGACTTTCACATCAACATTAGCTAGTAAAAAAAAAAAAAAATTCTCACATTACTTGACATAATTTTACTCTAAACATAAACACAAGTACCCGTGTCCCGTGTGCCGTTCTCATTCCTCTCGTGATCCATCAGTGTTTTAATGTTGATCTGAAGCCACTGTTGTTTATAATGCAGATCATCACTTTCATTAAAGAGTCCCTCAGATTCCTCACACACCCGAGTCATGAAATCTGCTTTATTCACACGCTCACACACACTCAGGTGTAGGTCATCGAGTTTCACTGAGTTGTAGAATTCATACACTTCTCCAGACATCAGAGATTTAGACACAGCGCTGTGTGTGTAGTATAGAGAGTGACTTTCTGAAATATGAAGAAAAAAAAAAACTTGTTCAAACAAGAAAACTGTCACGCATCATTTCATTTGTTGCAACAAATGTCCAAAGTTGAACCTAAACCAACAACACTTTAAAATGAGGTTTCATTTTAGTTAACTAGTATCACAATCATGTCATGTTTAATTTCTTGTTTTGTTTAGTTTCTACTTCATGTTTTTTCCTTTCGATCTCTGCCTTTTGCATATAGAGTTCTGAACTTCCTGAATATTTATTAAAGTTTACTTGTATATTTCATTCTGTGTCACGTGGATTATACTACTCACACTAACCGAGACAATTACTGACATGAAATCATTTAAAAGATGCTTTAAATCTAACTTTACAATATACATTTAAATTGTACTAAAAAAAGAAGAATGTATTACTTGTTAATGTTAATTTAAACATACATTATTAAAATCAAAAGGTGCATCATTCTGTTAATAATACTTGTCATATTATTAATAGTTATATTTTTACTTACAAAAACAAAGATGAATAAATACTGTAACGCATTAGCTAGTATTGACTCTTTTACGTAAAATACGTAATTGCAGTGTACATATAATAGGCTCATAGAGCAATCATGCTTCAGGATAGACTACACTAAAACATCATGAACTATAAACTACCATATCATAAACTACCTATTCTCTTTAGTGGTTTCAACAAGAGGGGTAATAGTATGGCACAACACCCGGGACCAGATACACATCACACTCATCACAAGAACTTGTCAAACATGCTCAGGTATGTTCAGATCGCCCATGTGAGCACACACTTGCAGGACATTATTGTGAAGTTTTAAACCTAAATTTGATCAATTTAAAGGTAAAATCAATCACAATGGTCCAAACAGTTCTTTAAACAGTATCAAACTTTTCTGCATTCTCTCAACACAGAACCTTGTTGAACCTTGTGAATAGCTATAATCTTCACCGTCTACAAACACGTGCATGTAAGAATATGGAAACAAACAGAGACTAAAAATATTCCTTACCACTCTGAGAGGAAGATAGAGCTGAAATCAGGAGGAGAACTGTGATTGAGGCCATTCCTGATGATCTCTGGGTTTCAGCGTCAAACTGTACTCTATACTCACAGACTAACAAATGTGAAAATATAAATGATGCTCTGCAGCAGGGTTTGCCAAAACCAGTCTGACGTGACGTCCAATCACAAATAGAGCAATACCAGCCCAACGTCCATATCCAGATATCCAAACTCAAAATGTTTTACAGTCATTGTACTTACACAATCTTATTGTCACCATTGGTCCATATATGTGACAGTTCATCACACACAGGAAATCAAAAGAGGTAAGAGTCACACGTCATAAGTACAAGTAAACAGGAACTTTATACAGTCTAGAACAGTTTGTTTTCACCACAGTGGTTTTTGCATGAGGGCAACAAATGAGGACAATGCCCACAGATGTGCATTTTTGACTAAAGAGGGCTGAGAATAGGCTATTTATAATAATCATCTAGCACAGTTTTATCATTGGTAGAATATGTCAACACAAGCATTTCAGCAAAAATAAAATACAAATACAAGTATTTCAGCCATATAGGCTAGAGTTTATCCAATATATCAACACTTTAACCAGCGTGGGGGGATTACCCCAGAGCAACAGTTTAAAGGGCAAACCACAAACCTGATGCGCCCGATCTCATGAATGTGTGTATCTACAACGAATAGTGTTTTTGCGTCTATATACGTAGTTTTCGCGTGCATATGATACGCACTTTATGGCGTGTGGTAGCCACGCACTCCCCCACCCCTTAACCTACCCAAGGGGTTTCAGTGCACGCAAAAAATCGTTTTGGGCGTATAAATGTCATGAGAAATGGCATTCGTGGCACACACTTTCATGAGACTGTGTGTTGTGTGTAGGCCTGCCTACTTCCGCTTTGAAATAGGCAAGTAATACGAGTACAACAACACCCTTTTTCCCGTCTACAGGAAATTAGCTATACCGCCATTGTTTTTGTCGAGCTCGACGAGCCGATTCATAAAGTGAAAGTGTGTGTAGCCGGCAAAACAAAGAGTTTGTAAATTTTCCGAGGGGCGCTCCTGTAAAAAATAAAGTGGGTGAAACTTCCGGTGACGCGGCGGAAGTAGCATTCCAATGGTATTTTGTGTGTTAGTTAGCGAAGAGGCTAGCTGTTTTTCTGAGAATTTTTTTTACTATTTAAAAGGCGCAAATCATTATGAGAGATGTCGTAACGGAGCTCAGGGACAACATGTGCTGTTCGCGGTTGTATGTATAACCGGACTAAACTAATTCAGTGGTTTAAACGGGATTGTTTTGAACATAAGCTGAAAACGAAATCAGAGTGATTCTGCCAGAGCCCGTCTCTGATCCTGCCAACGACTGTAGTTTCCATCACCTCCCAAAAGACGACAAATATTCCTGTGTACATTTGTTTAAATTCTTAATGTTCTATAAACTCTATCAGCATGTGATTGGCTGTTCTCTACTGATGTCACACCTAAACTCAGGATCAAAGCCTGTGTTGACAGAATACCAAATGTGCCAGTTAATGTATTCAAGCAGCACATTCATTTATAATTTTGAATAAACTCCAAAGCACAATGACTAAGTGTGTATTTTTTATTTTAATTGTTTGTCAGCTCGCACAACTGTCTGTCACCATACCTTGATGAGTATTGATTATTCATAATGTTATTATAATAATACTCCCAATCAACTACTGCGGAGGGTAAAGGTACTGTTATTTCACCCTTTTTAATTTCGTTGAGGTTGTGTTCCCACATCGTTAGCTAGTTTGGATCGCTATAACTTGAATGACTGTCAACTGTTGAATGAACGAGTGTCAAGCATGTCAAGTCGCGCTTTGTTTACTTCCAACCGGAAGTCGCGCCCACTTTTGACGCAAGGCCTCATGGGGCGTAGGAAACTTGTGGATACCGTTCAACTGAACTTCAAGTTTTCACACCGATTTCGGCCTTAGAAAACAATGGCTTGTGAACACATCGAAAGAATTTCAATTGTGTGTGTGTGTGAGAGAGAGAGACCTGTGTGTAAAGGTGGGTTACTGTGATGTTCACATGCACTGTCGTGTGTGTACAGCAGTGGGCAGCATTGTGTTATTTACCATCGCATCTATGAGGATTCAGAGATCAGAGTGTCAAACATTCCCAAACACTTCAATCCAAAGATCACTTTTATAATCCAGATTATAGTTGGTCACGTTACACACACTGGCGCGTGTGTGAGGAGATTAGAGTAATCATGTGACTGTAGTTCAGTTCAGGCCTCTCTTTTAATTACTAGTAATGCACAGATCCACAAGCATCAGCTAATCACTTTAACTGGATATCAATGTCTATTCTACTTCCTTATATTTCATTTCCCCCCCTTCATTTGATTGACATGTTAATTATGCTTGCTATTAATAAAGTCACTTCTGAAAGACATGAGTGGGTGGAAATTAAATTGATTATTACCGTCAACAAATCAGAAATAGTCAGGAATTAATTCCCCTCTTTATTTCCTCTTGACATGCAGTGGCAAAAGATTCAAAATGTAATAAAACACGTTCAGTGCTGCAATGGAATGAAGGAAACATCATTGTTTGCGCTCATTATCATCTTAATCTAATATTTACAGTCACTGTTTGTCCAGGATTTGTTGAGGTCATTCATTATTGAATTGTTAATATGGATGATAATATATTAACCCTTAAGTAAAGAAATAACATCCAAAAAACAGATTTATTCAGATGTTGGTGCTAAAAATAATTATTTTTTAATGTTTCATTTGTATTTCAGAGGTGCTATTAATTAATGTTTAGGAATTTGATAAGATAGTTGGAGAGATTGCTGAGATTTCTTCTGAAAGTGTTTTCCATCCGAGATTCGGGTGATTTCTGCTTGTTCTCCGTCTAAAATAATCTATGAATATAATCGCTGTCCGAGAGAAATAAACGACGATACGAGTGTCAGCTGATGCTGGCGAGATGTCAGACGAGCTTTATGAGGACGATAAGATTTACAAGCTTTGGATGACGGTGAACTTTGTTCATTTTTACACAACAGGACAAAAGAATGCCAGTCATCATCAGTGCCATGCAAATGTAGCAGATATAATACAGTATTATTATTATTATTATTATTATTATTATCATTTCATCCGTCTGTCTCCATCCATCCATCTGTTCACCTGTCTCTATCCATCATATCCACCCACCCATCCCTCCCGGTCTCTATCGATCCATCCGTCTGTCTCTATCGATTCATCCATCCATCCATTCACCCACCACCAACCCTGTCTCTATCCATCCATCCATCCATCCATCCATTCACCCACCACCCATCCCTGTCTCTATCCATCCATCCATCCATCCATCCATCCATCCATCCATCCATCCATCCATCCATCCATCCATCCATCCATCCATCGCTTTGTCTCTATTCATCCATCCATCCATCCCTGACTCTATCCATCATTTCATCCATCTGTCTCCATCCATCCATCCACCCCTGTCTCTATCCATCCATCCATCCATTCCTCAGTTTCTATCATCCATCTCTGTCTCCATCCATCCATACATCCATCCCTCTATCTCAATCATCCATCTGTCTCCATCTATCCATCGCTCTGTCTAAATCATCTATCCATCCACCCATCCATCCATCTGTCTCCATCTATCCATCCGTCTGTCTCCATCTATCCATCCCTCTGTCTCTATCCATCCATCCATCCATTCCTCAGTTTCTATCATCCATCTCTGTCTCCATCCATCCATCCATCCATCCATCCCTCTGTCTCAATCATCCATCTGTCTCCATCTATCCATCCCTCTGTCTCTATTCATCCATACATACATCTGTCTCCATCCATCCATCAGACTGTCTCTATTCATCATCCATCCATCCATCCATCTTTCTCCATTTCTCCATCCCTCTGTCTCTATCCATCCATCCTCTATATTTGACCAGCAGTGTCCTGAGTTTTGCAGATGATTCACAGTATTAAGGAAACCCCAGGTGAGTAAAGGTTATATAACCTGTAATAGTCCAGTGGTTCTGCTGAGCTTGTCTTGAGGCGTGGTTCTGGTCGATGATGTCAGATAAACCCTGTGAACCAGCGATTTAGAGTTTGACCTGAGGACAACACCACCAGTGACATGTCACGACACACACACACACACACACCACGGCTTGCATAAGGTATATATTATATCTGAGATCATGTCTGCATGCTCGATGAACGCTGCGAGTGAGATTGTGATATATTATACTGTAGCAGTGAGTGACCTCTGGGAGACAAATATGACTTTTAGCATTTGGATTTATTTACAGCTATTATTACTGTATACATAAATCATTAAAGGCAGATCAAAAGGAAAAGTGGATGTTCATGCTGATTTTTTTTTCTTTCAATGAAAATGAAAGGGAATGAACACTAGAAACTGATGTACAAAAACAGCAATAAAAGTATTGTAAACCAAGTGCATAATCATTTACCAGTCTTTAAATACATATGATGAGTTGACGAGATGATTTAAATCAAATCTGTTGTATTTATAGCAGTGAATAATGACAATTTTAATTCATAAACTTCATTCGAAAAACACTTTAGTTTAGGGTCCAATTCTCACTATTAAGAAGTTTATCAGCATGCATATTACTAGACTTGTTTAATTTAATACTTATACATATTAATGGCTTATTCTGCAATAAGCTGAAGAACTACCCTTACTTACTATTAATAAGCAGTAATTAGGAGTATATTGAATCAAAATTCATAGTTAATAGAGAGAAATTGACTCTAATCTGAAGTATGATAATCAGAATTTAAACATAAGAGTATAGTAAGTGTAACATACTATTATGCTTCAAAAATATTTTTGGCTGATATTTTACTCTAAAAATACTACAGTGTAAAAATAATTTGCAGAAATACCTTAAGTATTTACTAATAAAAATACAGCATTTAAATTCAAAGACAGTAGCTACATTAAAGGCTGAATATCGCATCCATTAATTTATGATTCATATTTATGAAAAAAAGAAGAATCTGAAAATATGCAAAAGTTTCTTTGCTTTTCCATCCAAATGTAATCTAAAAATTAGGGCCGTCAAACGATTAATCGCGATTCTTCCAAAATAAAAGTTTGTGTTTACATTATATATGTGGGTGCACTGTGTATAATTATTTTACATATATATATAAAAATAAACACAGATGCTTGTATATATTTTCATGTATATAGAAATATTTTCATGTATATACTGTATTTATATATAATTTATATTATATATCAATATTTTTTTCTTAAATATGCATGCATGTGTGTGTGTATATATATACAAAATAATTATACACAGTGCACGCACATATACCTGTATAATATATAATAACAACACAAACTTTTATTTTGGATGCGATTAATCGCTTGACAGCCCTACTAAAAATACTAAACATATTTAGGTGACACTTTACAATAAAGGTCATAATATTAGTTAACATGAACTAACAATGAAAAAATACTTATATAAAAATTTAAATATTGTACTAATACATTATTAAAATCAAAAAGTTGAATGAACAATTGTATTTCTATAACTATTTCTCTTTTTAGTGAATCTTATTGAATGCATTAATTCATGTTACTAATGAAACCTTATTGTAAATTATTACGATACTCCATATATGAAGACACATCCGGCACACATTGCACATGTTTAATATGTCGTTTCTGCGGACAGATATATAGGAATAAGGCACAAATAAAACCTGATGTATCATATTCAGAACCCTATTTGATCTTCATAAAAGGACAAAAGCAATAAAATGCCCCAGCCGCTTAAAAGTCCCAGATTCTGCAGGAGAAAAACCAGCCACGGTCTTTTACTGTCCACATGGACCAGCGAGGGAAGCTACACGAGACAAACGAGAGAAGAAGGCTTTCGTGAGTCTCTGTTAACACTGAAATAATGCTAATGCTGCATGTAAAGAGGAGACCCTGAGACTGTAGTAGACGGTGACGTACCATGTCTGCCAGACCGACGTACAGAAAGAGTCCAGCGGTGACCGCCGAGATCCACTCGATAGCCACGGTATCTGTGGAGACGGACAGCGCGATGTACAGGCCGATGAAGGAGGTGAGCGAGCTGCCGACGTTCAGCAGAAGAGCTCGCTTCACGGACACGCCACAGTGCAACAGGATCGCGAAATCACCTGAGACCAGAGCAGACACGTCACACACTCACCAAACATCTGCCAAACTCACGACAGCAGTGTGTGTTACTGCACTCTAAAAAATGCTGGGTTGTTTTAACCCAACTTTGGGTCAAATATGGACTAACCCAGCCGTTGGGTTAAATTTTTACATTACATTTTTAACCCAACATTTCGGGTTTGTCCATATTTGACCCAAAATTGGGTTAAAACAACCCAGCATTTTTTAGAGTGTGGGGCAGAAACACTCAAAGGAAAGTGTGTTACTACCGTAAGGTCTAAAAACCAATCAAAACAACAACAACAAAAAATACTTTGTATATGAGACTCATTTAATAAATGATTTGGATTACATTGTAAAAATAAAAAATATTATGCTGTACAAGGACAGTGCGGCTATAATTAATAAAGTAAAACTAACTCAAATAATGTGTGAAACTGTGAAATAATTATTACTGTATGTTAAAACATAACGAACACCATCAGATCAACTTTTCTATTTGTTCATCTGGCTGTTATAACTCATGTACAGCAGACAAACAAAATTTAAAGTCAATGATTTAAGGGTCAAGAGCCCAAATAAAAGCAAACACTGATCAGCATAATGGTGACTTAAATTACGGTTTCCTCCTTCAGCGATTCTGCTTGTTATCATCTGGTGTCTTTAATGTTGGCAATTTAAAAAAAAGAGTTCTTCATTCATCTTTGATGTCTGTCTGTTATTCAGATGTTATTGTTTAAATTTATTTTTGTAAATTTTACTCATAAAGGAACTAATTTAATTAATTAATACTCAATTCTAATTTTTAAAATTAAATTAATAATATTGCTTTTAACCTGTTGCCACAATTTTATTGATTATATAATGCATATTCATTTTTACAGTGTAAAATGCACCTTTAAGTGATCTTTTCTGACAGTGTAGGAAAGAAAAAATACATCTGAGATCTCTAATGCACTAAAAAAAAACAGTAAATTTGACAAATAATTACAAAGAAATGCCAAGTAATACGTTGAATAAATCTGAAAATCTGAATTAGAAAGATCGAAATGGAATTTTCCTGTAAAACGTACTCTGATAATATTTGTTTAAACTTTTTTAAAACTTGTTTTCTGCTTCTCGGATAATCCACAAAAAAACTGTCAGGAAATTTCACGCCAAAACAAAGAAATAATAAATAATATTTTGAAGACAAAACTTAAATCTATTTTAGGATCTTATTTGAAATTTGCATTGATGTCACAATACAAATATAGTTTTTTAAAATATAATTTCTTATTTCTTTCTTTTGATTTGGGGGTTAAATGTTTGGAAGCTTGTTTTCGCGAGGGAAAAAAAAAAAAAGAAAGAAAGATAATTGCGCCTTTTTATCGCACAATTCTGAAGAGATATACAGTGAACATGCAAGTTATAAAGTCATGCAAGATACAAATTTAACTCAAGTCTCCTGAGCAATAAAAAAGCGATTGTCGATCTATAAAATCCTCCTCTGGTTAGAATAAAAGAGTAAAACAAAGCATAAAATCCAAAGTAAGACAACCAACAACACAATAAAGGCATTTTAATCTAAATAAAAGATTAAATCGAGAGATTAAATATGCATAAATCAAATATCAAAGCGTAAAAAATGTCTGAAAATTAATATTCCACTAGCCTAGAGAGGCTTGTAAGTTTATTTCTCAGTCAGACAGGAGGTTTTTCAGCCGCTTCACTCTCATGTGTGTGCAGAAAGGAGGACGTTATAAGGAGGGTGTGCTCATGAACTCAGGTGTGAATGCTATCTAATCAGTGTTTATCTGGGACGCTCCATGACTCACAGCAGGAACTGTGAAGTGTGTGTTTAGAGAGAGTGCTGCTCACTTATTATCTCGGTCATTCAGCAGTTTCACAAAACCTAAGTTTATCTCAGAACAAAAACTCAAAGCAGTCAACAGGCATTCGTCCGTGTCATACGCTGACCACACTTACTCATAGCTGACGTCATGGCCTGTGGTTCTCGACCATGGGACCCACATTCCCATCGCCACTAAGCCGAGACCCAATTCTTTTTAGGAATGTAACCTAATTGTGTGTGTGTGTGTGTGTGTGTATAGCCTGGCCAAATGAAGTGCTGTTTGGTTTTAAAAAGAAGCAGAAACAGTTGTTTTAGAAAACATATTACATGCTGGAAACAATAATGGTCCAATCTTAGACTTGCCCATTTAAATCCAAACAGCACTTTCGTTTGGTCGGGTGTGTGTGCACATAATACAGTTTCAAAACCGCGGGTGTGACGCAGCGCTCACCGAGCTCGTGTGGCAGCTCGTGGCACAGCACCGCCAGAGCCGTGGCCAGGCCGGATCGCCACGAGATGGAGAACGCCGCGCCGAGAGCCAGACCGTCGGCAAAGTTATGGATGGCGTCTCCGATGGTGATCATGTAGGGAAGCAGACGCTGCTCTGAAGGGGAAGACAAGACCACTGTAAACACGACATCTTTCAGTGTGGCCTGATCAGCTCATTTTACTCCATTCCATGTGCAGAATGTGAACATGTCATGAACACAAAGTATTAATTGATGTGCAGAACATGAATTTTGTCATTAAAACAAAGTATTATCACCTCTTTTAGAGGCTCCAGGCTCCAGGAACGACTTCTCTTGTTTTGCAGCATCCACCTATAATAATAATAATAATAAAATATTCATTTATAGCACATCTCTAATAAAACATGAAAACCATCTAGAGATTAAAGTCATTATAATATGAAATTAAACTCGTTAAATTTAGAGAAAAAAAAGTCAAAATACAATCTTGAGAATAAACTCATTAAATTTCGAGAATAAAGTCGTTTAAAAAAAACTCGTTAAATTTTGAAAAAAAACTTGAAATACAATCTTGAGAATAAACTAATTAAATTTCGAGAATAGTTGTTGTTTAAAAAAAACTCGTTAAATTTGGGGAAAAAAACTTGAAACACAATCTCAAGAAGGTTTCAAGTTTTTTAAAGATGTCAAGTTTGTTTAAAAAAAATTGAAATACAATCTTGAGAATAAGCTCATTAAATTTCGAGAATAAAGTATAATAGTTTACTGTATTGCGACTTTTTTTTCTCTCTCGAAATTTAACAAGTTTAATTTCGCATTATAATGCGACTTTCGACTTAAATCTCTAGAATAGAGACTATGTTAAATTAAATTAGAATAATTAATAAAATGCAAACACACTACAGGTCAAAAGTTTTGAAAACAAAGTTGATTTTTTAAATGATTTTAAATTAAGTGTCTCTTGCTCACCATTTTATTTGTTTGATAAAAAATACAGTAAAAATTGTGAAAAAAACAAGTTTACTGTAAAAAAAACAAGTTTACTGTAAAACAATTAAAAATAGATTTGTCTATTCAATGCTGAATTTTCAGCAGACAGACTTAAATATATATTTTTTAAAGTGAATAAAAATCTTAATTATTCAAACTTTTGAAAGGTAGTGTTGACATGAATAAATAAATAAAATAAACAAACAAAAAAATAAATTAATTAAATAAAGACAAAAAAAGATTCAACTTAAGTTGAGAATGAAAAAAAAAAAAAAAATTAAAAATATGAATAAAACTAAATGAACTAAACTATTGTTCTTCAGAATGTATAGTGTATTAGTGACAGAGCCTGTGTTAGTGTTTAGGAGTGTGTTCTCTCCTCACCAGATCGGCCTGAGAGCTGGAGCTGCGGCTCTGCTTCTCCCGCTGGAACATCTGCAGGACTCGGCCGTGATCGCAGTGATGGGGCTCGGACTCCTCCTGGGAACACACACACACACACACACACACGTGTGGGAATCAGCTCACGATGGGGTCATGTGGGACGGGAGCGCTCGGCTGACTGGAAACACTCACCTCGTGGTGGTGCTGGTGGTGATGATGTGGTGAGCGAGTGATGATGGAGAAGATGCTCTCCATCAGGTAGAAGAAATACACACCGGCGAGAAGCACCAGGAGCTTGTACACATAGTCCAGGTTTTCCTCCGAGTGATCGTGTCCGTCCTCGTGAACGTGAAGGCCTAAGAACTGCACAGAGACACACGGCCATGAAAACACACATTAACACCAATCAGAAGCTTTGATTTCCCAGCAGGGCCGTGCAGTGACTCAATAAGGCGGCGCAGCAATCCGGTTATTTCCCACTCAGGCCGATGACACGGCGTGACAGGACTGTAGTTATGTTGACACGGATCTAAACGGATGAGGGGATGTGGGCGATGTCAGCGCTCGGGGGAAATAACGGGTTCTGCCCCGTTAAACCGGGAAACGGGCCGTCTCTATGAGTGATCGCAGAACGGCATGACGGTGAACACTACTGTACATTTACACTCGGAGAATCAAGACATTATATATATTTAAATTATGACATTTACACACACTAAATTATGACATTGTCCATTACAATCAGGCACATTTTCTCCTAATTATCCTAAAACAATTACTAACATGAAGCATACTACTCTTATTATAGTTTACTAAAACTAACAAACACTTTCATTGCTTTAAGTAAACATTAACAGAAGACATTTATTTTATCTCATAATTTCCCATTTTTGTTCAGTTTAACTTGATGTTCTAAAATAACTCAATATAATAATAATAAAAACTATATAGAAAAACTAAACTAAAAAAAACAACAAAATTAATATTATTAAAATTTTAAATGAATAAAAATATAGAAAAACAACAAAATTACTATAATTAAAATTTTAAATGAAAAAAAAACTATATAGAAAAACAACAAAAGTACTATAATTACAATTTTAAATGAATAAAAACTATATAGAAAAACTAAACTAAAAAACAACAAAATTACAATTACAATTTTAAATGAATAAAAGCTATAATATCTCGATGTATACCAGCAAACCTTAAATATTTAAAAAATGATTTTTTATTATAATATTATTTCTAGTATTATTAATAATATACAGTATATTATTATTTTTATGTTTTTGTTACTGCCTTAAATTAAGTTCAATCAACTTGGATGTTTAAGTAATTTCAACTTTAATGACATCAAATCTTATATACATAAAATTTTTTGAAAATTGATTGGCTTATTTTGACGAGTTAAAGCAACGTAAAAACACATGTTGTCATAACTTATTGATCATATCATATCATAGTTTAATTTAACTTGATGTTCTAAAATTAATAAAACTTTTTTAAATTAATAAACACTGTATAGAAAATTTTAAAAATAACAATAAAATTACTATAACAAACAGAAAAGATAAAAATAAGAAATTATAAAAGTATAATCTCGATGCATATACAAACTTACTTTACCGTAAATATAATTATTTTAGTTAGAATATTATTAATATTATTAATAATATACAGTATATTATTATTTTTAATGTGCTTAAGCCATTCAAATAAAACAGCACTGTAAAAAAGGCTTCTGTCTTAAACATCTAAGTTGACTGAACTTAAAAATTTAAGCAATTTCAACTTAAATCAAATCATCAAATCAAATTATTGTGTATGCATAACATTTTTTGAAAATTACTTGACTTATTTTGATGAGTTAAAACAATGTGAAAACACATATTGTCATAAGTTATTGATCATATCATATTTTATAGGGAATGTCACATTGCAAGTCTTTCAAACATGTCATTCTTTAAACAGAAATGACTTGTTTTCTTTTGATTTTTGTGATATAATTGTTTATTAGCCATGCATATTTCATTATGCGTGCTTTGATTTTTATCATGTTGGTATATTATGTGTAATAACGAGCGCCGCCGAGACCCTTTCAGCCCCGTTAAACTGGAAAACAACGTTTCTATGAGCTTCACAGAACTAGAAAGTATGATTTTTTGGTATGATCTTTATTTTATTTACAACATTTTCACAGCGTATTTCGTTGCATGAAGAGTTTGAAGTGATATGATATAAAGCGATATGAAATATGCCCTTTCAGGTGTGTTCAGAGATTAGACAGGTTAACCTGCGTTTGGCAGAGCGCCTCGTGATTTGGGAAGGACTGCAATAATAATAAGATTCAATCATGATAGTGTGTCATTATGACCTGATATTGTAATTTAGGTCAGAACAATAAACAATCCTAGACTTGCAGCACGGGTTAAAGCAGGGTTGTTCTCGTTAACTAAAACTACTCTTTTTTTAAATTAATTTAAATACAGCTGAAAAGAATTAGATTAAAACATGTTGAATTGGCAATAAACTGAAAAAAGTGAAAAAACTACTTAAAATAAATGAAATCAGATAATGCAAATACAAGATTTCCGTAACGTACAGAACACAATTGTTTTTAAAGTTTTTTTAAGAAGTGGTCTCCAAAGCCGCATTTATTTGATCAAAAATACAGTAAAAACAGTGAAATAATATTACAATGTAAATCAGATGTTTTGTAAGTGAATATAGTGTAAAATGTAATTTATTCCTGTAATTTTCAACATCATCACTCCAGTCTTCAGTGTCACATGATCCTTCAGAAATCACTCAACAAACATTTAATATTATTATCAGTGTTGACAACAGTTTCAGATTTTTGTGGAAACTGATACATTTTATTTCTCAAGATTCTTTGATGAACAGAAAGTTCCGTTTATTTGAAACGGAATCTTTTGTTACATTGTAACTGCTTCACTGTCATTTTTGATCAATTTAATGGATCCTTGATAAAATAAAAGTAATAAAATATGACGATGTCATCATAAAAGCGTGATGAGAATAAAACACAAAGGTTGAGCTTCATGATTTCCCATTTCTGTACTGCGTTCACACTTTTAACTACATTTTTAGACATGTTTTGTAGCATAAACTCCTCATATTTTGCCTATGAGATGCAGAAACAGGTGTGTGTGTGTGGTCACCGCGGGCAGCAGATGGAGCAGAGCGTCCCCCGTCAGAGATCCCACCGCGAGACTGATGCAGAACTGGATGCAGAACTCAAACACTTGCGTGCAGGCCGAGAACAGCAGCACCACGATCCCAAACATGGCCATCAGGCAGATGATGAGGTTCGCCAGCGTGGCGTATCCGTATCCTGCGCACAGACAACACCTTCACTGAGTGTGTGTGTGTGTGTGTGTGCTCCGGCACAGCGTTCAAACTGCGCTCTGCAGAATCTGGTTTGATACGAGGAAACGCTTTGCTCCATTGCAGAATTTGATGTCACTTTAAATCAATTCGGTTATTAAACACAATCATACTTCCAAATAAACTTGAAGTCTTTCACAACACAAATAGCAGTATGTTTCACTAATTGAGATTAAATGATACTGTGTTAGATCTTTAGTTCTTTAACAATTTTAGACTTTTTTTTTTCAAATATTAACTATTTTTAGGAGATTTTCAGTTTTTTTTTTTTTTTGCAACATTGCCCATTACAATTAGGCACAAGTTAAATTCAGTAATTAAATTAAAACCATAAAAAATGCTTTCGCTGTTTTAAATTAAATAAACGTTAACAGAAATAAAGTATAAAAACCTTTTTTTTTATTTAATTTGGTTTCATAATTTCCCATTTTTGTTTAGTTTAACTTATGTTCTAAAATAACTAAAACTCAATTCCAAATTAATAAAAACTATATTATTATATAATAAAAAGTCTAAAATTCAAATGAAAACCGAAAATATAAAAATATTATAAAAAACTATAAAATTATTTCAATGATGCATACTTACAAACCTACTTTACCTTAAATATTATTAACGATTATTTACTTTTATTAGAATATTATATTATTATTTTTAATAATAGTTTACACCATTAAAAATAAAACACTGCTCTAAATTTTTTTTTAAGTACAATCAACTTGGATGTTTAGGTCATTTCAACTTTAATTACATTCAAATATTTTTTATTAAATTAATTATAAATAAATTTATTATATTATTATTATTTTATATTATTAAAATTTCAAATATTTAAAAAAAAATAGTTGAATCTTGTACAACATAAAAAAAAGTTTAAAAATGTTTTTTTGATGAGTTAAAGCAAAGTCAAAACACATGTCATAACTTAAACACACACACACACACACACACACATATATATATTACAGTGAATTTCAGATTGCAAAAACAAGCCTGATGTTCTTTAAGCAGTTTTCTTTATATTTTTTTGGTGAGATATGATTGTTAATTAGCCATGTACACTTCATTATATGAGCTTTGATTTTTCCATTACATATTAATATGGTGGTGCATTTGAGCATTTTTTATTCAACATATATATATATAAATTCAACATATAATAAATCATAATAATGTAAATAATTTGCTTAGGTCACTCACTCTCTGTGGTGCTGAGAGAATCAGGGCTCGTCGGTGTGGGACTGATCTCAGAACAGCCTCCGCTGAGGATCTGCTGGATCAGGGCCGGACTGAGCTGTGTGAACTGATCCCGGGTCAGTGATGAAGAGTTCAGGCCGTATATCCTCATCAGCTCTTCCGCGCTGAAACAGGCCTGCGTTCACAACATAATCCACACGGACACATTCAAATCCACAAATGCATAAAACATTTGCTGGCATTAATATTTCATTTCACACCGCAGCGCTGCTCTGATAATCACGCGCGTAACACTCGTATTTACGGTTTGCTGAAATATTAATTCCACGGATGTCAGATGACAGGTCTTATTTAGACAGCGCGCGAGCTTAAAGAAATGGGAAATATTAATCATGATTAAAAACAAGCTGAGATCACATGTACTGCTTATTTCCCTCTGATTATGACTGTGGACAGATGAAATGTGCAGCGTGTCACAACATCCATCAGGAGGAATGAACATTAATGGCAGACACTGACACTTCACGTCTCACGATCGCTCTCTCCGTCGAGTGATTCGATTTCGAAGATTTCCCATGATGCCCCACAAAGCTCTACATCAGAGAAAAGCTTTTCTGTGTCGCTGTAAGTTTTTGCAAACCACAGAATCTGGAATTTGAATGATGAAAGTGGAATTGCCATTGAAAAGTTTAAACACAGGTAATGCATTCTGGGAAACATATTCGTGCATAAAATCAAAATTAATGAAAATGATTGATTGATGACCACAGGGTTTCCTGAACTGGGTTTGGGAGTTAATTAAATGTTAGTAAATATGTTAATTGCCAAAAAAAGTAAGTAACATTTAGAAAACAATTTATATGAGAAAAAAAATTAAATTTATACTGTATATATGTTTTTTTTTTTGTTTCTCTGCATTTAATTTTAACCGACATCAAAGAATTTGGAACATGCATAATTCTTGTTAAGTTATGAATTATTATTATTATTTAAATTATTAAATATGTATTAACTTAAAATTTCACAGAGACTTCAAGAAAATGTTTTTGGGTTAGTAAGTCAATTTTAATGTGAAAAAAGTAAAATTTTAAAATTACAATAATAATTTTGAAAACAAATATATAAATGTATTTATTTATTTTATCTGTGATTATTCATTACATGTGATCATTAACCGACACCAGAGAACCGTGAATAATTAAATGTGTTGTTAAATTAGTAATTATTAGATATTACATTTTTGGTAAAACATTTTCAAAAAGGTTTCAGTTGAGTTAACATGAACTAACTATGGAAGTTTGTTTCCGCCACAGAATGAAAAATAAAAAAGGTAATTGCGACTTTTTATCTCACAATTCTTACTTTTTTTTCTCCGACTTGCGAGATATAAAGTCAGAATTGAGAGATATAAAGATGAAATTGCGTGTTATAATGTCAGAATTGCGACATAAAGTCAGAATTGATTGATATAAAGTTGAAATTGTGAGATATAAAGTCAGAATTGTGAGATATAAACTATTCATGAGGGGAAAAAGTTAGTCTTTTTTTTCTTAGAATTGGCCTGATAACTCACAATTGCAACATTATATCTCACAATTTTATGAAAAGATGTAAGAATTTTGAGTTATAAACGTCAGAAATAAAAGTCAGAATTGCGAGATGTAAAAAAAAGGTATTTTTTTCTCGCAATTGCTACTTTATTTCTCACAACTGCGACTTTATATCTCGCAATTGTGACTTTATTTTTCAGAATTGCGACTTTATATATCTCGCAATTGCAACTATTTCTCAGAATTGGGACTTTATATCTCTCAATTTGTCAATTACGACTTAAGTTCTCAAAATTGCGACTATATTTCGCAATTGTGACTTTATTTCTCAGAATTGTGACTTTATATCTGGCAATTGTGACTTTATTCCTCAGAATTGCAATTTTATATCTGGCAATTGCAACTTTATTTCTCAGATTTGCGACTTTATACCTGGCAATTGCGATTATTTCTTAGTATTGTGACTTTATATCTCGGATTTCTGACTTCATATCTCGCAATTGTGAGATAAAAAGTCGCAATTATTATTATTATTTTTTATTTAGTGGTGAAAACAAGCTTCCATAACTAACAATGAAAAATTCTTCTAAAACATTTATTAATCTTAGTTAATGTTTATCTCAAGTTAATGCATTAACTAATGCTAACACATTACAGTGTTTACAGTGAAATGTTCTGCAGATTACCGTGTCCCAGCTGCTGTTGGCCCGACTCTCCGCTAGACCTCTCCACTGACGGGGATCTTCATCATGGTGATGGTCATGGTCATGTTCCTCTCCGCCCAGGTTTAAGGTTGTCAGAAGCTCCTCAAAATCTGAGAAGAGTAACATTATTTAACAAAATCACGATCAGAGGTGCAAATATGTGCCATTAAATAACACAGTATCCGGTATAAACAGCCAATAACTCCTGGGTTACATCACAAGTCAGTAAAAACACGTGACAAAAACTAGACAAAATATTTTATTATAGGGTAGTATAAAGTAGGAATGTTACTGTTAGCACAATTCTGACTTTATAACACGCAATTGTGAGTTTATTTCATGCAATTCTGACTTGATAACACGCAATTGTGAGTTTATTTCATGCAATTCTGACTTGATAACACGCAATTGAGAGTTAATATCACAATTGTAAGATAGAAGACAGAATTGTGAGATAAATAGTCACAATTACCTTTTGTATTTTTTATTCTGTGGCAGAAACAAGCTTACTTATACAAGAAGTTTTGATATATTACTGAATTTATTAATATTTTAATTAATTTTATTTAAATATCTCTATTTTTTATTTCAGTTTAAGATTGAGTAATTTTACTACTTCAGCTTATACTTATTTTATTTCAGTTAGTTGCAGGGTTATTATCGTTAACAAAAACATTTCTGTGAATTTATTTTTCTTTCAAATGAAATAAAATAAATGCTAACTACAATAATATAAATTTTACTAATCACGATTAATCGCATCCAAAACAGAAGTTTGTTTTTACATAATATGTGTGTATAATTACATTGTATATATAAATACAAACATATGCATGTATAATTTAAGATATATTTGCATGTATAAACTGAATATATATATATATATTTATACATTATTGACATTAAATATAAATTTTTTGTAAATAAAAAAACAAATTTTTCTTAAATCTATACATGAATGTTTGTGTATTTATGTATGCTAAATTATCATACACAGTACACACACAAATATATTGTGTAAACACAATCTTTTGTTTTGGATGCGATTAATATCAATTAATTGTTTGCCAGCACTAATACGTTTAAATATCAGTAGTTTTCAATCTTAAAACTAAAACAAAAATGTATACAAACTATATATATATAACATAAACGAATAATAATGACAAACTTTAACTAAAACGAAAATTGAAAATATAAAAATAAAACGTAAAATATATTAGTTTCCAAAGTTTATGTTTTTCCATGTAATATTTATATTTTATTTCAGTTTTATTTTAATAGAGTCTGGGCCTACACAGGTGAAACTCGAAAAATCTGAATATGGTGCAAAAGTTCATTTATTTCAGTAATTCAACTTAAAAGGTTAAACTAATATTAAATATGAAATAAATGAACTTTTGCACCATATTAAGATTTTTCGAGTTTCACCTGTAGAATGAATCGGAGATGCTTGAGCCGGGTCGTACCGTGAAGCGTGAGGTTCTCCGAGCCGAAGCGGCTGAAGATGTAGTCCAGGAAGAAGTCGGGCTCGGGGAACTCGTGTGCTGTAAAGCAGTCTCCTCTCAGAGCGTGATAGAGGACGTTCCCCAGCACCGCGTCCAGCTCCACGCGCACATCATCTCCGTGAGCAGAACGGCTGTCCTCCACGATATCCGTCAGAGACACACAGGCCTAGCGGGGGAACACACACACCTATCCGTCAGCATGAACGTGTCAGCTTGCCTTGAACCCAGGCACGAGTCACACGTTAGCCTTCGCAATCATTTTACACTATAACCGTGAGCAGCGTCGGGGGAAACTCATTACAAGTAACTTGAGTTATGTAATCAGATTACTTTTAAAAGTAACTAGTAACGCATAACCTTTTCAATTTACAAAAAATATACAAGTCCCTTTTTCATATAAGTAATGCTATATGTACTTTTCACATGGATTGACTGACAGCTCTCCTGTCCTGATGCTGAGAGAAATAAACAATAAAATGCAATCTCAGAATTTTACACAAAACTTTAGAATTTTTAGAATAACTATATTAAATTATACTTAATCTCACTTTATTAACTAGTGTCTTTGCTACTTTTCTCCAATGATCTAATTCAACCATATTAATAAGCAAAATTGACTTTAGACAGAGAATGTCTAATTGAAGAGAATTGGCACTGGCTGGTTACTTCCGGTTTCTGGACTGGCTGCAGTAACAGTCTCTGTCCATGCGGGGGCGCTCGCGGTCGAGTGCAGAATGAATGGGAGTCAATGGGGTTTCACCCCCAGAAATCCACTTTTCTCAAGATGTACTTTTTTGTGAAGTAATTTGAAAGTTGAAAGATTAACGCAATATTGTAAGGCATTACTTTTAAAAGTAACTTGCATGCACTAAACAACATGACAATGAAATATACACACCTCGTGCGTCTCGGGCTGGTAGGAGGACTTCATGTCGTGAAACAGCTTCTCCAAGCCTCCATAGTGACGGATGTGTCCGCGAGGAGCGCTGGCGGAGGGGTCGTGGCCGAGGACGGTGCGGATGAAGCGGTCGGTCTCGGCGCCCCATCGGCCCTCGCGTACGGCCCCACAGGTCTCAGCCGGAGCGCTCAGGAACAGACACCATCCGGGGGCCGCGGCGAAGAAGTCCTCCATCAGGAGCCCCTGCGAGCGGCTGTAGCTCCTCAGCAGCTGATGGAGAGCCTCCACTGAAACACACTGAGAGAGAGAGAGAGACATAGCGAGTGTTACGTAGCTATTCACAACGCCAGAGACAGCTAAACATCTTGAGACCCATTGATTAGGATAGATTCTGTTTATTTATCTATTTATTCCTATGCCATTTATGGCCTGATCTATACATATATGTTTTGTTTTTGTTGTATTATTTATATATATAATATGTGTGTTATTGCACTTTATGTATTTGCATCTGTAGATTTCAATTTCTACGCATTTCTTTAAAGGCCGTTAGTTTTTTTTTCCCAATCAGAAATCTCCACACCAGCAGCTTTACACACACCAAACTTTACAGATTTATGCATATTAATATTCTGAAGCATTTCAGAGGGGTTTGTTCATACAGTATTTCATTTATTTAACATTTTCTTCCAAAAAACAGGCTTTTCAGAGTTATAAAAAGATACAACTCTAATATGTTGAGAATTTTGTCACTGGCTTCATCAATGTTTATATTTCTGTTCTGGAAATATGTGCAAATAAGTGCATATTTAATTAGACAATGACTCATTTGCATATGTAAACATAACAATTCAGAAATCTTGTAAAACAATTAAATGGACGGTGAACAATCAATTTTTTTTTTGCCTTTAACAGATTTATATGAGAATTTGAGATTAAGTCAGAATTTAATTTGAAAATAATATTCAATTTAGCCTTTTTGTGGAAACCAGCTGCTGCTCATAAACCTAAAACTCTATACTTGAAAAGTTATATTAGAAAAAATTACATTTAACCCACTGAAAAATGTTTCAAAACACTTTTTGTTGGGCAAACACTAATCTCCAATTACATAAAAATAATCAATATTCAAAGTAATAAAGTTCAATGTACAAAACATCACAGCTAATGCAGTAAAACTGGGACAGGTTACACCACGGTCATCAAAACAGAAAGATTTAAGCATCTAATAATGAGCAGACCCACAATAATTTTCTAAGGCGTTACAATGGTAATAATTATTATATTAGTCTGACTCTGTACTGATATACAAGTGCTGTTTTAAGCGTTTCACCATTACAGGCCTATATGATAATATATATATATGGTAATATATAATGATAATTGATTAGATAAAAAATTAAACATATCTGATCTCAGTGATGATTTTAGCAAGTTTTCAATCAGAATATCTTATAAAACCATGGGTTCGCTGTTCGTAATTTGCACTGACGGTAATATATTTCGTAACGCAGGTCTGCAGACAAATCTATAGGCCTATCTCAGTAATTTATAGATTAAAAAGTCAAAAGTCCAGTTCCACAAACGCCTTTTACAGTAATGCATATGGTGATCAAGATGGTTATATTGGATTCAAACACATTATAGTGAACACAATAAATCCAAAATGGGAAAAATGATAAGGGGAGTGAAACCTTTTTTCTCCATAGCTGACAATATAATGTAGACTATATTTGTTTCGCATATGTTTTACATTTTTAATTTTACACTTTAAAAAATGCTGGGTTGTTTTAACCCAACTTTGGGTCAAATATGGACAAACCGAAACATTGGGTTAAAAATGTCATTTAAAAATGTAACCCAATGGCTGGGTTTGTCCATATTTGACCCAAAGTTGGGTTAAAACAACCCAGCATTTTTAAGAGTGAACAAAGACATTAAATTAACTCCCTAAGTTATATAAGTTTTCATATATATATATAATTTTTTTACACGTTATAGTTGTTTAGATTTTTAATTTTACAGGAAAGACATTAAATTAACTCCCTAATTTATATAAGTTGTATAGGTTGTCACAATATATATATATATATATATATATATATATATATATATATATATTAATTTTTTTACACATTTTTTTAATTTTACAGTAAAGACATTAAATTAACTCCCTCCGCTATATAAGTTGTCACAAATGATTATATATATTTATTCATTTTTTTACGCATGTCATAGTTGTTTACATTTTTAATTTTACAGTAAAGACATTAAATTAACTCCCTAATCCGATTTAAATAATACAGATGCGTCACATGTCTTTTGTGTTACATGATTTATGACATGATTTCTAAATGACTGACCGAAGAAATAAATAAATAAATACAAAATACATGTCCGCGTTGTGACAACATGCCCCAATAGCGGCCAACAGGTGCTTCGTGAACGGTATCTTTTATACACTCGAAAAGTATTTTTATCACAACACAGAACTACATAAAAGAAGATTAAATTGGTGTAAAGCTTAAAAAAACCTCATGACCAGTAACAACACACGTTCCCTTTAAACACTTAACATGTTCGACTTCGACACGGTCAACTGCACTGATTACCCTACACATGATTTATTCTCCCCAAACTTTTAATTTTGAGCTTATATTATTCTGTGAGAGTGTATTTTAGCCCTTATAACAGTGATTTCCGCGCTTCTTCCGTCAGGTGTAGCGCACGAGCCTTCAGCCGCCGCGGGCGCGCGCTGGACCTCGACCTCTCCAAAAGTGCACAAATATAACCTACCTTTCCACACGACACACCGAAACACTGCACACGGTTCTCCAACCGCTCAAACACCGAGACAAGAGCATCTTCTGTGAGGAACTCTTCACCTGGAGCCACCAAATCCACAACTTTCGCGTAAATGTCCTTTTTATCGCCTCGCGCGCCCGAAAACACGCCGAGGGTGACGAAGCACAGCACCACAACAACTCTAGTCTCCATAATCTGTGTGTTTTATCCTGTGTTTCGGTGTTAAGAGGGTTTTTCGGGTGAGGTATAGGTCCGAGAGACTGCACACTAAACACACTCACACACTCAGAGGAGCTTTAGAGATCCTCACACCTGCTCAGGTACAGGCTCTTCTAGCCCTCTGATTGGTCATTTCTCCTCCTGCTCTCAAACACGTCTCATAAAGGAGGGAAGCTCTCGCTCACCTGAGCTGAGGGCTTCGGACAGGGGCTTCCCTGTGTACAGATCGCATTTCAGGATTTGCAGCACTTGCCCTCAAGGAATAATGCCAAATATGTGATATATTTAATACCCAGAATGAGTGAGAAGAGCTGCGGATGTTGAGATGATGCACACGAGGACATCTCCTCTGAGAACAGGCCTAATTACATGCACACAATGTATTCAGAAAAGGTTTGCATTTAAGACTGGATGTTTAGAGCAGTTTGGATGAACACTTTAGGTTCATTAGTTAACATGAAATGAGCAATACATATGTTACAGTATTTATTAATAAAAATCCAGCTGTTTATGTTAGTTCACAGTGCATTAACTGTGTTTTAACAAATGCAGTTTTAATTACATAAGTAAATGTGGAAATTAATATTAACTAAGATGAATAGCCTACATGGTGAAGAACTATTGTTCATTTTAACTAAGGCATTTAACCTTATTGTAAAGTGTTACCCAAGAGTGAACTGTAGCGAGTCAGATTTTGACCAATAAAAAAATAAGGCTAAAATCAGGTCGCCATTTGTTTCGTGGTCATTAAAACCAATTCACATTGTGAAAACAATATATGTCCCATCAGCATGTGTCGCATCATGTACTTTCTGGGCAACAACGCTGCTAATATCTGAGGAAAAAAACGATATGTTTGCATTTTCTTTGCTATATTGATGGAGCAACGAGCTGTTGTTAACCCTTATGAATGTATGTACATGTATGACCTTTTATATATACGTGACTTGGCGATTAGAAATGAAGAGCCGTTTACAACAATGTGTTGTTAGTCAGGGCACATGTTGTTCATTCGGACACTCACTTATTCCTGTTTGCCACCTCATATCCAAAACAGTTTTTAAAGTATTTAAGGTATACATCTCCATAGAAATGAAAACTCTGACAGGATAAGCAGCGAGTCGTAAAATGCTGATAAACACACACCTGTGACCTCACATTGTATGTTAATGCAACTGTTGTTGCTTAGAAATAGCAAACAAACAACTTTATTACTAAGCAAAATGAGTATTTTTATTTAGCTATTTGGTGTCATTTGTCATTTAGCTTTTGCATCATTAGTAAGCTTTTAACATCGCTCAGAAGAGAAAAAATGACTGTAATGCACAGACTCTCATGCTTTTAATTCCCTGGATGCAAACAATTCATTAAATGAACTGCATGGTTTTGTTCAAGTCAAACAAAACTCCTTTTCATGGGTTTAAAATATCACTTTCTCTGATATTGTTCAAAGCTCTTGTGAAACTCCAGAAGAGATTAACGGGAGAAAAAAAGATTGCATTTGCTCACTACTTCTCACTGTTGTAGCGATGAAAGAGATCTGAGTTGTGAAAGTCCCACGTGTGTGTGACGCACCTGTGCGTGTTCAGGTGAAGCTGTGTGTGACATACCTGTGCATGTTCATACGCTCAGGTGTTATTTACCCTGAAAAGAGAGAACAAACACACTGTTATTGCATCTTACAGGCTTAACCATAATATGAATATAACCATAATATGAGGAGTGTCTTCAAAATTATATTTTTGTCTGGGTTTCAGTGCAAATTTATATATATATATATAAAAAAAGTAAATTAAGATGCATTTAGATGAGTAAAATGCCATTAGATGTTATATCTTGTTTTCTGGGGATATTAATCAAAATTAAGAGATTTGTTTCTTAAAAAAGGTAAATTATCTAAATTATATTATTTTTTTTACCCCATCGGTAGAAAATTTTGCTTTTTTAAGCAAAAACGTAATAATTTTGATTTATATTCCCAGAAAACAAGACTTAATACATTATGGCATTTTACTACTTTAGCAAAGACATCTTTATTTAAGAATTTTTAGATTTTTGGACTGAAAATCTTGTGCGTCTTTGTAGATTTGACCAGATGAGGGCGTCCTCCTCCCTATAACTAAACCAGCTGGAGATGATCTGAGGGATCTGCTGCACAAATAACATTTTTGGAAAAAGAATTTAGCACGAGTTGCGTTTTTGCTTACGGGTGTTTTAGCCTTTATGAACAGCAGGGGTCGTCCACATCATCACATTATGCTTCATTAGTTTCCTTGTCTCTCAATTAGCAAGCGTAACTTTACAACAACATCCTGGATTCACTGCAGAACTTTATTGTGCAACAAAGAGATTTTCATTTCTTAATGATGGTATTCTGCATCAATCAAAAATGAAACATACATGATTCAGTCATGCATTTTAAAGGTGAATTGTGTAGTTTCTGCACTATTAGAATCAACAAATGTTTTTAAACAGGTTTCCTGAACACTCGCCCCATTGGCCAATAAACACAAAGTCAAAGTCACACTGAGGCGCATTGGTGAGGTTTGATATCACCAGAGAAAACAGGTTACAAATTACCCTCCACATTAAACTTGTAAACTATAATAGCTTATATATTAGTAAAAGGTAAAGGGCACATTTTTTTGCTTTAGTTAAAGAATAAGTGCACTTTCTTTAATGCATGCATGTGTAAAGACATTGTTTTTAGTTTTGCATGTAAAAAAAGACTCTCCTACAAATGCATATCAATATTAGCCAAAACAAAACTAGCATAAACCACACATTTATATACATAATGTATGCACTGTAAAAAATGCTGGGTTGTTTCAACCCAACTTTGGGTCAAATATGGACAAACCTAGCCACTGGGTTAATTTTTTTAATGACATTTTTAACCCAACGTTTGGGTTTGTCCATATTTGACCCAAAGTTGGGTTAAAACAACCCAGCATTTTTAGAGTGTGCAAGGATGCATGAATTTTTAAAGACATTTTTTTTAGTTTTGCATGTAAAAAAAGACTATTTAATGAGTAATTCACCTTTAAACAACGTTCTAAAACAATTAAACTTTAGTAAACCAATACATGCATATAAACTATAGCCAAAAATAATCAAGCATAAACCACTCGATTTTACTCATGAATGCATGCATGAATTTGTAAAGAAACATTTTTTGCATGCAATTGACGATGCATATAAACAACAGCCTAAAATAAACATTAATGCATGCATGCTTTTATACAGGAAAAAAATTCTATTTGCATGCAGAGTCAAAAAGAACAAACAAACCATACTTAGAAGTATACTTTTTTTTAAAAGGCATTTTAAACATGCAGTACCTTCCTGAATCTCCAGGGGTCCACAGATAGAGTGAAAGTGATTGTGATGCCCCAGGTCCGACCTGAACCCGTGCCGCGCGTGTCGCATCATGCACACGTCACCTACTGCGCCACGTGTTATTTCACACTAACCAGCGCTTAAGAACAGGGACTGTGACAAAGACTGGCCAAGTTCAAAAGTCACCGTTCCCAGATCTTCTCCACAGAGACCTGCAAACGTCAATTTAATAAAACCCTCCAATATAGCATTCTGCTTACTGTTGCAACCTGCTGAGATCGGACAGAAGCCTGCAGGTAACAGCTTAATAAGAGCTCACCAGCACACACTACTGCTGTTTTTACACGGCTAATAATATAAGCGCCGCAGCCCCTGAGAGCAGAGAAAGCCGACGAGCTGATATTAACCACCTTGCTTTATTACAAACAGCCTCCATTACTGCTAAAGATAGGCGATCCCTCGCTCCTGCAGGTCTGGAGAGGAGAAGAGGACGGTAATTTAGGATGAGAGGGAGCGCTCACGATATTGATCTCGGCTCGGCTTTTGCTGAGCAGAGAGTCGGAGAAGGTACGAGGCATCCGATTGGCTCCTGGATCTATTATCTTACACTCAGGCTGACTCGGCCATCCTGTGACAGAGGCCTGGCTTCTATTGTTATGTTAAGTGGACTTTATTAGCAGCTCGCAGTCTATTTAGGAACAATTCCTCGAGCGACTCTAGTGCAGATGGGGACTTGTGCATGGAAACGGAGCGATTTCGTCATTGAATACGCTCAACAAAGACGTAGAAAGATCGTTAAGCCTCATTGCACATATATTCAGGGAAACACTGATTAAAAATGGTGCATATGGTAGAAGAAAAAAATTATAATTTCATGCATGCAAGCAAATATTGCATTGGAGAAATGCTGGTGCAAATATTAAAAATGAAAACACTTGCAGAATCTGAAACAATTTTAATGCATAATCGACAACAATCTCTTTAATTATTAAAAATGTGAGGCTATTATCAATGCAGAATCATTTAAAAGCAAAAAATAAATGCAACCATATAAATGCATTAATATATGTATGCATGTATTTGTAAGAAAAAATAAAGACTCTTTAATGAGTTTCTGAAGGTCTATTTATGTTCAGAGACTCTCTCGCTTGTCTACGCTAGTTTATTATTTGCCGTCGATGTGATTTTGCATTGTGTAAATGACAAGATTGATGGCGTGGGCTGATCCTGACAGACTCTCGCACATGAGCTCGCCCTCCCTCTCCGTCTCGACTTAATGATCTTCATATTAAGATCACTTTAGGACCCAGGAGTGGAGAGGGGCCCGTCCCACATGGGGGCCGTCTTTGTGTCTGGATAGACTCAAGGGAGACTGGAGACATTAACACCATCTCAAATCATGCAATCAACACACACACACATTGACCAAACACATGTACAAACAGTAGCTTTACTGTAATGTTGTGTATTGACGACTGTTGTGTATGTAAATAAACATGCACGTGTTCTTTCTATTTTGCATGCAAAGTCAGGCGACTTTGCATGCAAAATAGAAAGAACACGTGAATGTTTATTTATGTATGTACACAAGTCACACACACACACACACACACACAAAGAGATCTGGCCAATCATAAATGAAGCGTTAAATGAAGAAACATATAGTACGGCTCTCTGGGGAGAGAAGGTCTCTTACACAAAGGAGCGTCCCGGCTGAGACGGCGTGTCATTAGCTTCTGTCCCGCCTCAGCACTTCAGCAGCCAATTAA